ACTGGAAACGATACTGGGGGGATGGATTGGGGCGTTGTGGAAAAAGATGGCTGGTGAGCGAGGCGCGGGACGAGATGGAGAGAGGGAGAGGAGAGGGTAGGAGAGGGATGTGAAGCTGCGGGAGTTTCACGCGACGTCGAGGTGGGAAGTTAGATCGATGGTTTAGATAGATGGTTGATTGAGCTAACGGTCGGGAGAATTGAGCGATTGAGAGATTGATTGTATTGAAACATTTTCAACGACCGTCCAGACTCGACGGACCAAGACCAACGACAAGAAGTATGGAATGCTTGGGTCTACTCTGCGATGTGTCAAGTTGTCTTGGGAGGGAGGCATTTTCCCTCTTGTGTCTTTCCTCCAAGAAAAGCGTACAGAGTTATCTCGTAGCATGTACTCCGTATTACAGAAAGCAAACGAAGGAAGGATGAAAAAATTCAAAAATCGCGCTCTTGGAAGAGGTAGCATCAGCAATTGCCAATGTAGCCAGCGCAATAATGCAATAAACGTTAGAATTATGTGTATGCAAGCAATTGGTCTTGTCCCGGGAGAGCCGCCCGCCGCAGTTCGCCGTACGCCCGCCGCCCACCCACCGCGCACAGAGAGAGTATGGGGGTGGCCGTGGTGGGCGTGGGTGACAGTGTGTACTGTATTGTACGAGTACGACGAGACGAGGCGAGGCGAGAAGCACAAGGCTTCAATCTCGGTATCTTCCATTGGCGTTAATTACTCTTGAGGCAAAGAGACACATTTGCGATTACTGCATCCGTCTGGTTTATCTAAATGCCGTATGGTGGTGATGGCAGAGCTGCGATACGTGCATCACTGTGCTGGCACGATGCGCACGCACGCATGGGTCACGATATGGGGGGCATGAGCATGGACACGCCCGGAGAATGTGGAGGAAGACCACAGAGGATGCGCGCCTGTCCTGGAGCTGGGCGTCTAAGAAACAACGCAAAAGACAAGAAGAGATGCCGTTTTTACCCATTGCCCAGCTGTTTCACCGCTAGAGAATGATGAGGAGAGGGCGCCAGGGCCCCCAGATGAGGAAAAAAACGGTCACTGCACTGCTTGCTACTGGGAAGAATTATATCGCGCAAAGCCGCCGCCGGAGATGCTGGTGCTGGTGCTGGCTGCAATTGCGTGGTTTATTTTTCTGGAGACTGAAGAGATTTAACGAGTGGTCGCGTTGCGTTGCGATGGGATGCCGACTGTTGCGAGAGACCCGCTCGATGGCGGCGACGGCGGCGGCGGCGCGCCCTGCCTTACTATTCCCTGGCCTTGCCTGGCCCTGCGTCTGAATGGTCGTTGAGATGGCGAGCGAGCTAGAAGGCCTTCGATGCGAGCGAACGTGGTGCGGGACAGCCCGTAGTCGTAGTCGTAGTCGTAATAGTACTGGACAGACAGACCGCCGAAGTAGTCCTTTTTGTAAGGGCCAATTTGGTTTGTTTCATTTGATTGATGATTTGAGAACGGAGATTTCGAGCTTGAGCCTCGCCCTTTGCGCCTCATCGCCCATTCGCTAACCCGGCGGATGTTCTGTCGCCAGCCACGTCTAATTCGTTTACCTCTCGGTCGTCATGGTTCAAACCTCAGAAGCACGCTCTAGCAGCCTTCTAAAGAGTGGAGACATCACTCCGTACCTACGTTACGACGGTACGGTATGTCGACACAGCGAACAATAATGCTACGACTTAGGCATGGTCGGTGGGTCTTCCTCGCATCTCTCCATTCCACGGTCTCCACCACCAAGCACCAAGTCTTCACACGAAAAGCAGGGCAGGGAGGCTCTAACGCTGAAAATGGGAATAATTCGAGGGCGCTGGTGCCAGGCACGGCCGAGGCTTCGGTGCGGACCTGGCGAATGACCATCCGTCAAACGCAAGGCGATCTGGATATTGGTATCGTATGGGCTCCGTAGCCTGCGATGGACAGATGGGTGAATTGATTGATGGTTCTAATTATTGCGTATGTTGGCTTGGTAGGGTGCTTGGAAAACACATCTTCTCTTGGCTGTGGAGGTCCGACGGTTGCTTTCTGGGGTACACGACATGGAGAGGGATTTAACTGGCAGCGGAAGGACAGTCCATCTAAATTGGTAGCACCGTGGCAGATAGAGAAAGATACGGACTCAGCGTATGTGCTGTGCATACACTGTAGACATACTGCATCCGGTGCATAGATAGATAAATAGATCTTGGAAAGGAGCGTCGGTGGTAGTACTGTACTCCGTACTGTGTGGTGTTGGGATTAGTGAGCCACACGCGCCCACGAGAGAGTGAGTGGTTTTGGAAAATCCCGGGTCCGAGCGTAAGCTACCCCTGCACTCACCAAAAAGGTTCGAGAGATGCGATACTCCCACGGCATACCTTGTCCTATCCTGTCCTGTTCTCTGAGTGTATGGAATGAATGGTATTGTATCACCATTGGCAACGATGCGCTTGGGACAGCGGATGGACACGATGACCGACCGACAGACGGACAGATGATTTGCAATAATTAAAACAAAAAATTGTCGCATTGGCAAAACAACGGCAGTAAAGAAATGGCAGATACTACCGGAACTAGTAGTACTAGGAATTAAGGTGCGAAAATAAGGTTGAAGACTTTAGGAAACCGATTGATTGATTGAGACGAGGCGCGATTGTTCCCGCTTAGGTGATACATTACGCGCCGACGGCTGTTTGGGAGCGGAAACCATATCTCGAAGGCCAAGGACCCGAGATGGTATCACAATCTGGGGGCAATTGGAGGTGTCGATGTGGTTGGATTGGGAAGAGCACGCGACTACTGGGCAATAATGGACGGGCGGAGGGTCGCCGCATTGTCTGTTATTGTCCGCCCCGTTTAGAGTGAGTGAATTCTTCAATGTACTTTAGTCAGGCAGCCTGACAGATATCGGAGGACTTGGTCTGCTTGAACAAGGAACCGTCGTCATTATTCGCCTGCGATATTGGATATGGGGGTTGCGATGGGGGTGGTTGGTTGGAAAGGGTAAAGGGACGGGGAGCGTGTGGGATGTAGGTTGACATGACACGGAGAGAGGGAAGAACACTGCACAGTGCGTAGTTAGGTTAGGGTAGACTCGTACCTACAGTGACATGGGAGGTGGATGTGATGGGACGGATGGCAGAACAGCACAGGACATGAAGGACAGGGTAGGGCGAGGCATGGACCACAAGGGACTCTCCGGGGTGGGAGGGAGGATCTACTGCATCAAACTTTTATTCCCTCGGCGCGAGACGAGACAGGAAAGAAAAGAAGAAAGAAGAAAAAGCCAAGAAGCTTCTTAATGGGGGAACAGGGATGGAGGGGACGGAGAAACGGATTATGCTTGAGATTGAGCATTGGACACGTGCATGAGTTAGATATGTATGTATTAGCATTGTGTATGAGGTAGTTGAGTGTGAGAAGTGTGAAGATTAGGAGGATGGAGTAATGAATTGGCCGATCGCAGGAGGAGTCGTCGTAGTCTGTAGTAATCGTGGTCATAATCGTCGGCGCAAGTTGCAAAACACAACAGACGCACGCGCGGGATTCGGGGCAAAACGATTCAATCACATCAAGTCTAACCACAGTCTACTACGAGGTATTGCCTCCGTAGAATTACCTACTTTGTTGATGCTACACACAGACCAGAAAACGAGACGAGATGAGACAGATGGACAAGCCAGACCAGCAAGACAAGCAAGTCAAGGACAAGAATCTTCCTACGAGGTATCCCGAATCCCAACCCATTTCCTTCCAATCTCCAATCCAGTAGAGGCCGGCCGGTAGCAAGCCAAGGTCGGATCTGGTAAAGAGCGGAGAGTTATTCCCTCCCCACCCCATCCAAAGTCAAACATCATCAACCTCCCCCATGACCCTCATCCATGCATCACAACAGACCAGGAAGATACCTCGTAGAATCAAGACCAGGCCAGGATTGGGTTGGGTTGACAAGCCATCTGAGTAGCATCCTTAATCCTTACCCAGGTTGCTTGTCTTGTTTGCCGCTCAACTGCTTTGGCCTTACTGGGTATTACTGCTATTGCTGCTCCGATACAGACCGATAGTGAGACTACGGAGCTGTATCCAACGCGTATTCTATCACAACCTACCCTGCCTATTCACCATGGCTTGATGATTATTGCTGGGGAGATCTTGGGTCACCTTCTTGAAGAATTGCTTGGGTTTGACGGCACTAGTCAGGTCTTGTGTACCGTACCATACCAGTGACCACCACCCTCCCGAATGGCAGCATTCTTTTCCTTCTTAAAGAGCGCATTCTCCTCCCCTCTCCGACTTGGAATCAGCAGAGAGCTTCCATCTGTTGTCCAACTCACCTCCTCTCCTCTCCTCCAACTCGACCTCTCCCTTTTTCTCATCGTGAGAAACCAACCTACGTATCTGCGTTTGTGCCTCTCCTAGACGGCGAGACAGACCTCGATTGCCTGACGCGGCTGGGTCTGCGCCTTTCAATTGGCCCGATACGTCCCCAGATAGGTATGTACACTGCTGTCGATCATGACGGTGCTCCTTTCCTTGCCTACGTTACCCCATCGACCTGTTCCGGTTGTTCGACCGCAATGGCGGCGCCTGGTAGCAAGTAATGATGAGAAGGAGAGTCAATTGGCTTTTTCGACTTGACATTGCTGGTACTATGGGCGCTGTGGTTGCTGGTTGGATGTATGGGAAGAGTGGTTGTTTTTGTTGCGACGGGAGATATATTCCGCCATGACCACCATCAAGCAAAGCAAAGCATTAGCAAGGCCATCATCGGATGGGGATCTGCTGGTTGCTGGGGCGAGAGGGAATCGGAAGGGGAATAGGGAGAAGACACATGGACTGCTGGGCGCTGAGTGCTCCTCTGTGCTCTGGCATGGATTGGAGAGACAAGACGAAAGTGGTGGAGTTGACCCGGCTCAAGGCTACTAGTCCAAGCCTGGATAGCTACCCACTCTTCCTTCCTCTTCACTTCCAACCAGCCAATCATGTCTCTCCCATTCAACGCCCGGTGTATTTCCCTACCTCTTGCCATCCCCCCACTCTTTCGTTCTCCGGCGCGGGTACCTGTTATTGTGCCTGTCTACTACTACGAGGGACTACGACTACCGTCCACGTTCTGCGGTCAACCCGTCTACGGCCTACGGTCAACCATTTCTGGTGCTGGTACCCTACCCAAGTCTGTCCCTCTGCTACGACCACTGCCAGCCAACAATCCTCACCAATCACCGGTTCACTCTCGGGTTGGTTGAATCCCACCAAAGCCTATCTCTGCTCCAATGCTGTGTCATCAAAGCCGACGATCACCTTTTTTTTTTCACTCGCAATTGTTTCCCAGACTTTGCGCGCGGAGAGAGAGAACGGGTATTGTCCCGCGGCGAACCACTGCGTAGGGTACTTCCTTCCCACAACGGAAGAAGTGCGCAATCTACGTCGGTGAATGGCAATGAGCAGCAAATGGCAACAGCAGTAGCAGCAGACGACAGACAAGACAGACAGGTCGTACAACTCGCGCCGATGAACGATTGATTGACCAGAGATCTTGATGATTACATGCATGCACGCTCAATGGCTGGATGATGGACGCGGCGAGGTGTGAGCGCGCGCGCGCGATGACGAGCTGGGCTTGCAGGGCGCCGTATGCAGAACGTTGGCTTTGCCCGTATGGGAGGGTGGTCGGACATGGGGTGATGGGAAGCGAAGTTGACGACGGTGATGATGACGATGATGGTCACGGTTGAGGATGGTGGATTATTGGGATGAATTCTACAGTTCTCTCAATGATTGATCACTTCAATGATGGCCGTAGTCGTCGTCGCTGGTTGTTTGCGACGCAATTGCCCCAGTTCTGTTCTATCTATTCCTTCCGCGACTGGCGATACGGCATACGCTCTATACGCGCAGCCCAGCTCGACTTGCGCATTCGCATTCGCAACGAGTTAGGTGGTTTTCATCAAGGGAATCATCAAGCTCGTTCGCCTCAAATGTCTGGCAGTTGCTATGGTGAATAATGGATAGGATGGGATGGGATGGGAAGACCGATGCGCAAAGCAAAGGCAAAGCCGATGGAGATGGCGAAGGCGAAGGCGATGGTATGGGATGGGATGGGATGGCCCATGGAGCAATACGACCACCGGGCCTAACCTCCTAACCTACCATCTCCGGGCTAAAGCTCAGGATTTTCACCGTCCACCGGTGGATGAGATGAAATGAGCGAGCAGCAAAGCAATTGAGCTACGGGGTGTGCAAGAGACGAGCAGAGAGCAGACAAGACAAGACTTGCAAAGACCTGCCTGCTTTTGCCCGCCATGCCTGCCTATGCCTGCCCATGCGCTACGACCACCATCCACCGAGTTCCCACCCACCCATCACCCATCCACCACCAGCACAGACCAGCCCGCGCCAATTAAACAACGCCGTCGCAACAAAACACGCCCCCCAGTCTTTTTTTCGCAATTTTCTACGCGATCCTTTTTCCCTCCCAGTCTCTACCCACCCTCCACTACGCACTACACTACACTAACACACTAACCACCCCCATGTCACATCCATCCATGAGCTAACCTGCTATCGCCAGCGACCAGACTTTATTCCCTCACGCATATTATAAAGTCCCAACTCGTCCCCCGTCGCCCTTTCGGTTTCTCCTTTACACAGCGTCCTTCCTCTCCATCTCTACCCCCATAGTCTCCATCGCATAACATAGCAATGGCTGACAACACCGGCGCTGTGCCGCCAAACCACCTCGGCACCAACGTGCCCAGCGGACAACTGGTAAGCTTCCCGTCGCCCTTGGCCTACAGCCTTTGCGCCTTGGTCATTCAATCCTTACTGTCGCCCTCCATCGACACGAGAACCATCGATCAATGGACCCATCCATCGAACCAATCCATCAATCGGAACCATCAATAGCTAACAGGACCCTTCAATAGGATGAGAAGCGCGAGTACGACGAGAAGACCGCCCAGCCCGCGGCTGCTCTTCCTCCCAAGAACAACGTAGAAGAGGAGGAGGAAGATGAGGACATTGACGCCATCATCGAGGAGCTCGAGTCTCAGGATGCTGCCGTCGACCTTGAGGATGACGAGGGTGCCCAGCCCGGTGGTGCTCGTGTCATTCCTGAGGAGCTTCTCCAGACCGATACCCGCACCGGTCTTACCAACGCTGAGGTCCTCTCCCGCAGGAAGAAGTACGGTTCCAACCAGATGAAGGGTACGTTATCTCCATTCCTAGCCATCAATTGCTCTACAGATTGCTAACAACCATTGCAGAGGAGAAGGAGAACCTTGTTCTCAAGTTCTTGTCTTTCTTCATCGGTCCTATCCAGTTCGTCATGGAGGCTGCTGCCGTCTTGGCCGCCGGTCTTCAGGATTGGGTTGATTTCGGTGTCATTTGCGGTCTCTTGTTGCTCAACGCCTGTGTTGGTTTCATCCAGGAGTTCCAGGCTGGTTCCATCGTCGACGAGTTGAAGAAGACCCTCGCTCTCAAGGCCACCGTCCTCCGTGACGGTGCTCTCCACGAGCTCGAGGCCCACGAGGTTGTCCCTGGTGACATCCTCCAGGTTGAGGACGGTACCATCATCCCCGCTGATGGTCGCATTGTTACCGAAGACGCTTTCCTCCAGGTCGATCAGTCTGCCATCACCGGTGAGTCTCTCGCCGTCGACAAGCACAAGGGCGACACCTGCTACCAGTCCTCCGCTGTCAAGCGTGGTGAGGCCTTCATCGTCATTACCGCCACTGGTGACTCCACCTTCGTCGGTCGCGCTGCCTCCCTCGTCGCCAACGCCTCCTCCGGAACCGGTCATTTCACTGAGGTTCTCAACGGTATTGGTACGGTGTTGCTCATCTTGGTCATCCTCACTCTTTTGGTTGTCTGGATCTCCTCTTTCTACCGCTCCAACGGCATTGTCCACATTCTCGAGTTCACCCTCGCCATCACCATCATTGGTGTCCCCGTCGGTCTTCCCGCTGTCGTTACCACCACCATGGCTGTCGGTGCTGCCTACCTCGCCAAGAAGCAGGCCATCGTCCAGAAGCTCTCCGCTATCGAGTCCCTCGCTGGTGTTGAGATTCTCTGCTCTGACAAGACCGGTACCTTGACCAAGAACAAGCTCTCCCTCGCTGAGCCCTACACCGTCGAGGGTGTCGAGCCTGATGACCTCATGCTTACTGCCTGTTTGGCCGCTTCCCGCAAGAAGAAGGGTATTGATGCCATTGACAAGGCTTTCCTCAAGTCGCTCAAGTACTACCCCCGTGCCAAGTCTGTCCTCTCCAAGTACAAGGTTCTTGACTTCCAGCCCTTCGATCCCGTCTCCAAGAAGGTCCAGGCCACCGTCGAGTCTCCTCACGGTGAGCGCATCATCTGCGTCAAGGGTGCTCCCATCGCCGTTCTCAAGACCGTCGAGGAGGACCACGAGATCCCCACCGCTGTCGATGAGGCCTACAAGAACAAGGTCGCTGAGTTCGCTACCCGTGGTTTCCGTTCCCTTGGTGTTGCTCGCAAGCGTGGTGACAACCACTGGGAGATTCTCGGTATCATGCCCTGCCTCGACCCCCCTCGTCACGATACTGCCCGCACCATCCACGAAGCCATCACTCTCGGTCTTTCCATCAAGATGTTGACTGGTGACGCCGTCGGTATTGCCCGTGAGACTTCCCGCCAGCTCGGTCTTGGTACTAACGTCTACAACGCTGAGCGTCTCGGTCTCGGTGGTGGCGGTGAGATGCCCGGTTCCGAGGTTTACGATTTCGTTGAGGCTGCCGATGGTTTCGCCGAGGTTTTCCCCCAGCACAAGTACAATGTCGTCGAGATTCTCCAGCAGCGTGGTTACCTCGTTGCCATGACTGGTGACGGTGTCAACGATGCTCCTTCCCTCAAGAAGGCCGATACTGGTATTGCCGTCGAGGGTGCCTCCGATGCTGCCCGCTCTGCTGCCGATATCGTCTTCCTTGCCCCCGGTCTCTCTGCTATCATCGACGCTCTCAAGACTTCCCGCCAGATTTTCCATCGTATGTACGCCTACGTCGTCTACCGTATCGCTCTTTCCCTCCATCTTGAGCTTTTCTTGGGTCTCTGGATCGCCATCTTGAACACCTCGCTCAACCTGAACTTGGTCGTCTTCATTGCCATTTTCGCTGATATCGCCACCCTTGCCATTGCCTACGACAACGCTCCCTTCAGCAAGACCCCCGTCAAGTGGAACTTGCCCAAGCTCTGGGGTATGTCCGTCCTCCTCGGCTGCGTCCTTGCCGTCGGTACCTGGATCACCCTCACCACCATGTTCCCCTACCAGGATCTCCCCAACGCCGCTGGCCAGGGTGTCTCCGGTGGTATCGTCCAGAACTTTGGTGTCCGTGATGAGGTTCTCTTCCTCCAGATCTCCCTCACTGAGAACTGGCTCATCTTCATCACCCGTGCTAACGGCCCCTTCTGGTCTTCCATCCCCTCTTGGCAATTGTCCGGCGCTATCCTCGTCGTCGACATCATCGCTACTCTCTTCTGTATCTTCGGTTGGTTCGTTGGTGGCCAGACCTCCATTGTCGCTGTCGTCCGTATCTGGATCTTCTCCTTCGGTGTCTTCTGCGTCATGGGTGGTGTCTACTACCTCCTCCAGGACTCCGTTGGCTTCGACAACCTCATGCACGGAAAGTCCCCCAAGAAGGACCAGAAGCAGAGGTCTCTTGAGGACTTTGGTAAGTTCACACTCACTCTTAATCATCTATTGAGCAATTCACTAACAGTCTCTCAGTTGTCTCCCTCCAGCGTGTCTCTACCCAGCACGAGAAGAGCGCATAGAGAGTCGTTCTTTCCTCGTATTATAATTTAATGATAGTCACAAGAATATGTGTACTCGGGGTGTGGTTTTAGGATTGGGTATATCCATCGCCCGCCTCTAATTATAGAAATTAAAAAAAATTATTCGTAAAAATGTTTTGATGTTTGCTCTTGATGTGATGTGTGATGGTGTGTTGTTGATTGTTGTAATGAGTGGTGCTTTGCTATGGACTTGGGCCATAAGATCCATGTTTGCAATGTGGCTATGATACATGCATTGGTGTTATGTCTCATTGTAATGCCTCTGTATGTTTTGTTCTATGTCATTTCATTCTATTTAATCTTATCCCATCTAACCTTCCCTTCCCATCCAGCCTTTCAATGCCTCCACATCTCCACACTTCCGACCCCCCATACTATCTACCTCCATGTGTGATAGTCTATGTTCCTACTACGCACGCAGCCCAAAACGTACATACACGCGCTTCCCTCCTATCCTCTCACAATACATACTATATATACCTCCCAACCGTGCCGGTTTATCGTGTCTCTATTGCTCCGTACCATCCTCTCGCTACATCTCCATTCCTCTACCCTCTACGCCTGTATGTTCCTATACGTCACTATCCCTACACTCCCCACTCTATACTTATCTACTTCTCAACTGAACCCGTAGTCAGCGTCAGACACCATAGCAGCCACCACCCACCATAGCTAGCCAGCCCACGCAGGTACTCCTCCCTCCTCCCATCATCCCACACATCCCAACCCCACACCAATATCTCATGCCCCCCTCTCTCCCTCGCCCCCTCTCTCCCTCGCCGCCTCGCCTTCCTCCTCCGCTGCATTCTTTCGTGTGTGCTCCCCCCCACCCCCCCCGTGACGGCCGGTTTCTTGGTTTCTTGAGAACCGCATAGCGTCCATATGTATGGATGGATGTGTGTGTGTTTTGGAGTACGAAGGGGGTGGCTGGTGACTGTGGTGTGGAGTGGAGTGGTGTGGTGTGGTATGCTGTCTTTGATACTGATGTTATCCGTGTGTCTTTCCTTGGAGTTGTTAGGTTACAGTTTGTATCTAGCAACGCGTGGGATGCTTTGGGTATGGTGACGTGTGTGTGTATATGTGAGAGGAAAGCGGGAGTGTGATATGTGGGATGTGTGGTATGGCGTTGGTG